AGCCCTTCTGACCGACGATGAAGAGCACGTCACTCATGAGTGGGTTGTTAAACATGGAGGCGTTCCTCTCACGCACTCCACTCTTGAATGCCTGCCAATTAGGGTCTGCCGTCTGGTCGGGACCCGACAGCAGAGGCATCGGTGAGGCGGCGGTCGTCGCAGTGGTGGACGTGTGTGTCGGCGACGGCGGCGGCGAATAGGGCTGTGCTATGGAAACGCCTTTCACTGACCCATAGCTCCCGTTGGGACTCAAGGGGTGATTGAGGTTTGGGTTGTTGTGTGGGGACAGCAGCGGGTGCTGTGATTGGTCCGTGTGGTGGGCCTGTTGTTGGCTCTGATCGCGACAACCGGTCCCGCTCTTGAGCATCAGTTTCGGTAATTTATTCATTCAGACAATCAATGGCTGATCAGTCACTCTGTGGTCAACTGTAGTGAACAACCACTCGTATCGTATGACCGCTAATATTATCACATTTACCACCACTCAAGACATTCACCACTAATTGTCTCAAATATCACTGATATTCATGTCAAATGAGTGATTAGTTTTTGGTTTTTAAGACATCAAATGGTAAACAAATGGTATGATTGCAGACATCGATAGCTTAGTGACGACCAAAACAAGCAAAACATTCAAATCTATGGCAACTCTGAGGGCAGACATCATTACTGAACAATAACTCCCTTCACAGACACCACTCCCTACACCCCATCCCTCTCACCCATAATTACGTCCATTCAGTCTCACTGTCCCCCAAACCTCACACCAATTGGTTTACCTGAAGAATCTGATCATCAGATCATTATCTCATTTGTGACCAATTTATTACTGTTAGTATTAAATGACACTTGATTGAGACAGCAACATTTATCACAATTGTATGCACTGTTTGTTAATGTATTTAAACTTTTAATAAATATTACATTTGATATATTATTAAATATTCTGTAAATCTCTATAAAAAGTATCAAAATTAAAGCAATTTTAAAATTAGATAACATTTGTATAATTAAAGACTAAATGAGTTCTTATATTAGATA